TAACTTTGGTTGTGGTGTGCATGCAGGGCATTGTGTTAATGCCATTAATAATTGGTCATACAGCCTGCTCACATAGCATTGAATTCCACATTTGCTTTATTTGAAGCGATGCTCTTTTGTAAACAAACTGTTAAATAATTATTATGAGTTGATCAGTGTGAGATCTCAAACATTTTCAACTCACTTTAATTTTGATTCTAATAGTGTATTTTTGATATAGCAAATACAGTATGGCTTGTGTAACAACATGTATGACTGCATTTTCACTTTGCTCCTTTCAGAAAATCAAGAGTGAGTTTCAGTATCTAGAACTATTGTCTGGTTTAAATTTCTTCCCTGCTCAAAATGAGAATATAAGTTGTGAAAGTGTTTGTGAGTGATTTTAGCACAAGGGAATGCACGCTTCATTACTGACTTCTGCTTGCACTACATTGTCATGTACGCTAACTTTTAATGCTTACATCATCATGGTTTCCATAGTAACATGCATAATCTTGTTAGTTTCCCATAATGCACTCGTTAGGAGACCTGAACTACACGTAGTAAGAGAGTCTTGTAAGTATCCTCTTAGAAATTTAATTTCTGCTAATCTAAGTGAATAATTTTTTTTTATTCATTTTTATGAGTGTTTTGCAAATCAAATGTTATTATATGTAAATTAATTGCAAATAGTATGCAAATTAAAATGTAAATAGATACAAATCAATGCATATATTATGCAAAGAATATGCAAATCAGGTGCACAAACAATATGCAAATCAGATGCAAAAACAGTATGCAAACAACATGCAGAAGACTGTGCAAACAGTATGCAAATAGTATGCAAATAGTATGCAAATCAGATGCAAATAGTATGCAAATCAGATGCAAATAGTATGCAAATTATTTGTAACTGCTAATGAAATGATGCAACTGTTATGCAAAAAAAAGATGTTCAATATCTTCAAATTGCACAAATACATGTAAATTCCTGACAGTAGAGAACTTCTGCAGCCAATAAGGCGATGTGGATTTTTAAAATATGTGCATAATAATCATAATCATTTCCAATAGAAGGTTATAGGTGATTTCAATTTAGGGTAGGTGGTTGAATTTTAACCTTTCACCATCAGTTCTCCTTTTTCATAAAAAAATTCACAAGTTTATAATCTGCACTTCCCTTCAGAAGACTGGGACAAAAATAGCAATTTTTTTTTAATAAAACTGAAAATTGATTCAAGTTATGTCTGTTGGTTCCAAAATTAGGGTTCATTTCTATATTGAAGAATATAAAAAAGAAAGTGCAGACAAATTTGGCCAAGAAAGTGTGGTGGTGAAAATTATGTTTGTTGTGCACATGTTTTAAATAATCAAAGCCCCTGAGTGTCCTGGGTGCAATTACGATATTCGATAAAAGTATCCTGGTAATGCTGACTTAGAAAGATCTATACTATTGGCTGCAAATGATTTGTTGTTTTGTCTTCTGCATAATAATCTTTGCTAATTTTGCAATTGTAGTATTGTTAATCGTTAAATATTGTTGTCAGAGGTTTTTATGATTTTAATATTTTAAGGGATACCATGGACGAAAATCAGTCTGTCTGCAAGAAGCCAAGAGAACTGGTCACTGCTACAAAATCTTATAAATTAGTGAAAATTTTCTTGTGTGGTCTAAAGTTGATTAGTCAGGTTTCCATCAGTTACGAACTGGTTCCTGCATTGTTACCAATTTATTGTTGCAGTCTCTGTCAAGTCTAATTGTCAATACCAGATATAGGTTGTAAAGATGCAGGATAATTTTATTTGATGATTTTTTCTTATTTTCCCTTGGTAGCATTTCCTTACTATTCCACCCCTATCTCCTTTGGTAAGGAATGTTGATTATTAACTAAAACACCAAACAAACAAACATTGTTTCCAGTATGTATGGGGTGCATTCAAGAAGAAAAATGTTCTCTGAGGCCTTGAGCATTTTTCTTTTGAATAACGCTTTTTTCATGGGCATTTCTTAACGATATTTGGAGTTTCGTAGGTTTAACAAGAACACATAGAGAAGCAAATATGGCACACATAGAGAAGCAAATATGACTAAACGTGGTTTGATGATGTCAACATTATGGTGTTGGCAATACTTTCTGTAAACACTGCATACTAGAAATACTCGGTTTGTTTGTTTGGTCTTTGCTCCAATTAAATCCATCCAGTTTCAAGTAATACTGGGCTGACAGAAAAAAGAATTTCACATATCACATCTGAGATGAGACAACCTCCATTGTAGAAATGCACTCAAAGTTATAGATTTAGATGTATTTGTTTTATCGCCATGGTGACCATGTGATCATACTCTTGATAATGTCTAAAGTAAAAATATCCAGTCATTTCAGTCCAGTATTATTTAAAAGTTTTTTTCCATGTTGCGTTAATTTCACAACTGCTAACATTGAATTGTTACATATTTCATGTATTATTTATTTGTTTGTTTTGTGATTTAAAACAACAAATCACGCTATCACATGTTCTGAGGAACATTCTAAAATAATATAAGCTTGTTCAGTTCTCATGCTGCCAAAGCTTGTACAGATACAATTCAAAATTGGGATCATTTGTCCTCGCGTCATTACACATGCTGAAATAAGTTGTCGTTACATTCCAATTTTCACTAATTGTCACACCATTTTTACAAAACAGTGAATTTGTGTTGTATTTTGAATATTTTCATTAACAATCATCCATCGTCTGTCTACTATTTTTCAGCAAATTTTACTAAATTCAATTTTATTGAGATAAAAAAAAATACACAGAATTGATCTTTTTTAGAAGCATTGGCGAAACTGGAAAACTAAAGTTCACTGACGACGATGTTTGCAAAAAACAAACATTGTGTTAACAATCAGCATCACATGAATTCAATGATAGGTCATGACTGAGGTTCTGTTAACATGTTTAATTAATTGCACAGACAGCAGTAGAAATCTGTCAGTGTTTGTAATGGTCACCACTCAGTATTTCACTGCCTGAATATTAAACTTTCGCATCAACCCTAATTTCTGCTTTAGACACTCTGAGTAATCATGTAGTCATGTTTTGACTTGAAAATTCTAAAAAAAACAAGAAACAAGAAAGTTTTCATGAGCTTATTGTTTATTCTACCATTTTGAGCTGCACCAATAGCACTACTTTTTTTATACGTATCAATACATATGGTTGATCAGGTGACGTCATTACAAATGTATGTATTCTGACACATGAAATAAAGTAGTCCCCTAAAAAACTGGACAAATGCAAGTCCTGCACAGAGGAAGACTTTCTTAAAACTCCTGCATATTCATTAACTAATTAGCATATTTCCATATTTGGGCATCTCTGTACATTACATTACATTTCACTCTACTAATTCCACATACATAGTAATGTCTCTAGATATTTACATTACAATTGTCTGTTAAATATTGGTTGTATATTTCAGTGAGATATTTTTTATTACATACTCTTCATATCATGTTTAATATTTCTTTTGATTTTATTTCAGATATGGATAGAGCTCTGCCTTCACTTCCAAGTAACAACAGGTAAGGACAGTGTAACAATACTGTCCAAATAAATAGTATTAGGTTATCTTGAGCATATCTTGGCTGGTTCTCACCTCAAATGTCGTGGCGTAGCAAGCCACAAGAGGCCGGTAACTAGTAGCGATTCCGGCAATTTGATTGGTCTGTCACTTTCTCGTTGCTTGTTCTATTTCTCTTGGTTACCTGACGTCAGCGCTTACGTTCATGGCCTAGAGCAGGGGTTTCCTTTTACTCTCGAAAGTTGGGCGAATGTAGAACTGGTTCTTTTGTTATAAATTTGCACAGAAACTGCAAGAAATGTCAGAAACATTTCAAATATGTAAGGCTAAGAAGGCAGAATGTATGGGCATGGCGTAATGAAGACTTGTTTACAGAAAACAAATATGTTTTTTAAATTACTTCACTCAGTAACATGACTTTAGACCGGAATCCCGATCCAGTGAAACAATATGGCGATTACTAGTTACCTGCGTCCTACTTGCCGTTCGCGAGGGACGCCGGGAACCAGCAAAGAGGATATCGTTAAGCGTCCTTGGTGGCATGTCACACTGTAAAGTTGATACTTTGCAGTGTGATCCTGATTGCATTATTAATCATCATCATTAACCAGTCCACTTTATTCCTTTGTTTTGACACTATTGCCTGAGTCTGTATATCAATAATTGTGAATCTTCCTATCTGGCATGATGTCCTAATGTTGTAATTAATATCAACAATACGAGTGCAGTTTACCTTGGTTAATGAATGTTAAAATGAAGTTATCTTCAGTTATGATATGTTATTTTTGTTTTTGTTGATCAGTACCAGCCCAGCAGTGTCTGTGACGAGAAGTGCCCTCGGTGGTATGTCAGGAATGAAAAAGAGGGGTACGGCCAAACAAGGTCAGTTTTTGATAATAATTTGCTTCTTTAAATGTTGTATACCAGCATGGAATATAATGTGATGTTATTAAGAGGATACAGCAAAAATCAGTATGGTGGGAGTATTGAGATGCTTTATCAACAGGCAGTGCTTAACCATGGTGGATTACTTGATTTTGATATATTGTCACTTAAAATTCAGCAAAGTGGCTTGACATAAAATATTTTATTCTCACAAATTATTCATAAATTTCATACAGATCACAGAAAAAATATATTCTGTATAATGTTTCCAATTGAAATTTTGAGTGAAAATAAAGTATTATATTTTAATGACATCATATTATCATACATATCTCGTTTGATGCTCTCTATAAGACATACATTGATGTGGATACAACTGAATGCTGATTTTAGCAATCTTAAGATGGAGACTTTGACCTGAGCTTATCTACATAAATTACATGGCTATAAATATTATTATTATACATCAGTCACCGCAACGCCATAAGTTACAGTGTGTCGTAATTGTGCGGTATTTTACGGGGTATTTTCATCCTACCATATAAAGAAATGCAAATTCCAAATATTGAATGATTACGCGCATAAGCGTCCTCTAATAATAAAAACAAACGTGGCTTGCACCAGAGTTTGACTGGACTACACACAAAGAAGTTCGCTGATTGGATTTCAGCATTCCCATGATGTATCCTTGGAAGGAAAAGATGTATACCTCAAAGTATGCACTCAGACAGTATGCCGCGCATCGACCTTTGCTGCGCGTTGGTCGATACTCCAGCTGTACTGTCTTCTTGCATACTTTGAGGTATCCTCGTAATAACTTTATAATCTCCAAAAAATAAAGAGTACTTTTAATATGTTTATACATGTATAAGACTTTATTATATTACTCTTATCATACCCATCTCGGTATCTCGAAACCGCAGTCTTTCAGTCACTGTACAAATTTTATTCAAACCAACAATTTACTGTTAACGCGTTGTATATGTCGCATCGAATAGGATGCAGCATGACAGCTATTGATTCTTTCACCTACAGAAATTAAAAAAAATACCTCAAAGTTTGTTCGCAGGGGGAAAAGTTTGTTTGTCCTCCCCTTCTCCCACCCTCATACATACACAATCAGGAAGGAAGCGTACATATTGTCTCAGAAAGTAAAAACTATTGTCTTTTGTTTTAGAACACGATGACTACGCCGAGATAGTCGACAATGATGACTATGCAATGCCCGATGCCAAAGATTATGAATTACAGAGAGAAAGCGTTTCGTTACAAGCTATTATCGGCGAAGGACAATTTGGAGATGTGTATCAAGGTGTATATAGTGATATGGTAATTATGTTTTGATTTAATTTTCCCATCAAAGACTACTTCCAATTAACCCTCTAAATCGATATGACACGATTAGTAATACTCTCCGGCACGATATGGAAAATATTAAATTATAAAAATTACTTTTAAAAATATCTTGCTATAAGTTGAGGAATTCCAATTTGAAACTTCACATTTTATAAATAAAATAAGACAAAGGAAATCGAGAGCCACAACATTTTTTAGAAATCTCCCGAAGCCACTGTATAAAATCTTGTTGTTTTTTCTCTTGAAGACCTCTTTCTTCCCAGGAGCCAAATAACTGACTATACTTAATTTTGAGATTCCATTTCGACTAAAAATTCTTACAAATTCAACTATAATATGTTGTTATTCCTACAGGATGGTAAAGTTATAGATGTGGCAGTAAAGACATGTAAAGTCATCAGTGTAGAGGCGTATGCTGAAAAGTTCCTAGAGGAAGCATGTATGTACAAAATTTACTTGTCTGATTTCTCTTTTGTGTTTTTATAGTAACTGTTGTCGGTTTGGAACACTTACCATAATTATCTAGTTTGTCTCATGATTCATTTGATTTTTTATGAAATTACTACTACTCGAAACTAAAACAATTTTTGTATCTGCAGAATTGCAAAATTTTTTTTTTTTAATTAATCTCTCCATATGTTAAAGTTATATTAAAGTTATATTAAAGTTATATTTAAGTGTCGATGTCACCTTGTTTTATCTTTCGCAAAATAAAAAGATGCTGAACAGAAAATTATATTCATTTGTCTCAAAAGTAGCAATTATAGAAGACATAAATATGTGCAAAATATTGGGCCACTCTTTTGAAGGGTTCAAGAGGTCAAATATATTGTGGTGTTCATTTGTTTTTGTATTTTGTTTAATGATAAAGGTACATAATAAATGTCATTATTGTCATTAAATATTGTCAGTTATTAAATGTATTTGTTTTGAACAACCTGACAATGACTGCAGTCTGTTAAAATATCAATTTGAAATGAACATAATGATTTTGGATCTACATTATTTTATCTTCTTTTTATTGTAAATTAAAATTAAGACATTTTTTTTTTTTTAGATATAATGAAACAGTTTGATCACCCGCATATCATTAAGTTAATTGGTGTCTGTACAGAAGATCCTAAATGGATTGTTATGGAATTAGCCCCCCTAGGGGAGGTAAGAAAATGCTTATGAGCTATGCTGATTGGTCAGTTCAATTATTGCATTATGGTTGTGAGTTAAACAGAAGTTTGAATGTTTGTTTTGTTATTATAACAGGGGTTATGTAGAAACGCATAAAAATATAAATATCAGTTTTCCTCACCACACAAAATTTTATGAAATCATCTTCTTTCTTGTTTCCAGATGAGAACATATTTACAAAACAATAAGCAGGATTTAGACTTAGCCACGTTGATTTTATATTGCTGCCAACTCAGTACTGCTCTGTCCTATTTGGAAAGTAAAAAATTTGTACATAGGTAAGTTTCCTCTAACGTATAATTGTCGATGTTCATCTTCTTGATGTTATAGACTTAATCTGAGGTTGCTTTTATTGGCAAAATGTTTGCGGAAAGTGGAAATAAGCATGTATGTAACTGAACTACTTTCTGTGGAAAGTTACAACAGATTAGTCTGACAGTGAAATAGTATTCATTGTGTAACTACATCTCTTGTATATTTCTGTCTACAGGGATATTGCTGCACGTAATGTTTTAGTTGCAGCGGAAGATAATGTGAAATTAGGCGACTTTGGTTTGTCACGGTGGGTCGAGGATCAGTCATATTATAAAGGTAAACACAAAAGTTGTATGTCTGCTATCATGGTTTGCAACATCACACAAAATGTACTGTTAAACATTTTCAGATAGCTGAATGCTATTTCAGAGAATTATTTCAAGTAGGAATTAGCAGAACCTTGATTTAAATAAGATAAACTACAACTACAATTTAAAAGATTAGGCATTTTGTTGAATTGGCAACATCTTGAATTGGCGAACATACAATTTAGTTAAATTAGCTGACTTGCTATCAAAGACGTGTTTCTACCATTTTACATGCGCACACTCCAGTGGTCACAACTTTTGCTTTAACTTTTGTTTTTACTTTTTAGCTTCAAAGGGTAAATTGCCAATAAAATGGATGGCACCAGAATCTATCAACTTTAGACGATTCACAACAGCTAGTGATGTATGGATGTTTGGTGAGTAAAAAAAAAAGTTGTTTATATGAGATAAAATGCAAGTATTTGAGAAAATTGAAGCACACAGTTTAAGACATATGAAATCTTAAATTGTTGAATCCATTAATAAGAAATAAATTATTTTACTCATGATTTGCATATTGATAATTTACACATTGATAATCTAACATGCATATTGGTGGCAGCCATGTTTGTTTTTATTTTATTCATTTCAAATTTGGAATTTGCATTTCCTAATATGGTAGGATGAAAATACCTCGTAAAATACAGCAAAATTATGGCATGCTGTAACTTGTGGCGTTACGGTAACAGATGTATAAAAATAACTGGTACAATTAGTTTCACAGTAATCTTTTCTTTCAAATATTTAATGTTTTTTGTTGTTTCACCTTTGATGTGTGTCTAGGTGTATGTATGTGGGAGATTCTAATGCTGGGAGTGAAACCCTTCCAAGGCGTTAAAAACAATGATGTCATCGGTAAAATAGAGAACGGTGAGCGACTCGCAATGCCGCCAGAGTGTCCACCCACACTGTATAGTGTTATGACACTATGCTGGTCGTATGAACCTTCAAAAAGACCTCCATTTCAAGATCTTAAAAATAGATTAAAGTAAGTAGAAACACTTGAGACAATTTTGTTTTCAGCTACTCTGTTAATACATTGGAGCCCATGCAGATATTGCTTCATATGTAATGGACAGCACAGTGAACTCTATTGCAGTGAATGTGCACAATTTATGATTACCGTATGGTGATATTTACATATGCTTACATAGATAACAGTGGTGTATAGCAAATTAAAGCGAGGAAGTTGTCACATGCACATGTGTCAGATGGCCATAGCGTGTCATTGTTTACAAATAACTGTCTACCCATAAGTCCTTGCGTTTTTAGTGTGTATTGTTATCATCGCTTAGGACTCAATTCTTGCGTGTGCGCAGGTGACACCATTCCTACTTTAAGTCATGCATATACATGTATGCAATTTTTGTGTGCACTTCTATGAGGAATTTGCTTCTCATAGAACAAATATGGTAGTCATTTATTCTGAGCTAGGGGTTTAGTTATAATGGATGGCATGAATATATTAAAGCAATGGGGCTGTATTTGTTATAGAACATAATGGAGTAAAAATTCTGTAAGAAAAAAAAATCAGCAACTTACTTCTACCTTGAGGTAGAAATCATCTTCAATATGAATCATTTCATATTTCCACTTTCAAGCATGATCAATATTTATCAATATATCTGCATAGAACTTTTGTTATTTAACCTTTAATCAAAATTCATGAGATTGACAGCATTTTCCAATTCCTTAATGACTATTTTTTTTTAAATAATGGGGGAAAAAAATATGCAGTTATATTTTGTGTACATTGACATTGGTTCTTAAAGAGCCGTTATCAGTATTTTTTTTTTTTCATTTACAGTGAAATTCTTGTAGAAGAAAAAGAACGACAAGAAGACAGGGTACGCATGGAGACTAGAAGGGCGGCAGCATTTACTATGGGGGTATCTGAGGACCCACCTCCTAAGGTGAGACAGCATAGTTTTTTGCTCTCACTAGAGGAAAGCTATTGTTACGGTTATGAACTCAGTCTCCATTTTGTTCTTATGTTTCACCTGCTTTAATCTGTTAAAAAGAGGAACAAAAATTCTGATCTGTTGAAAAGCAGCTTTCAATTTCAACCGCTGTTGTTCATTTGTAGAATATTTATAATATATATGACATCATCCCATGATTGCCTAGTAATATCTTATTCAGATCTATTCAAATGTCACAAACTATTGGAAATAAAAAACTCAGGAAATAAAAATATTCTATGTTCATTGGATATATGGAATCACATGATCACAGATGAATGACAATTTTTACATTTTCATTCAACCAATCAAATCTTAGACTGTGATGAGATTTTACTAGCATTACAGCTAAACATGGAATATTGTCACTTATAATCTAAGCTACCGGGGTAGTAGAATATACAAGTCTTTAGAGTTTTTGCATATAATTACTGTTATCCTAAAATATACAGTTATATGTTACAGTTTCTTTAACCATTTTTGTGCTGACAAAAATCCATGCGATTTTAATAGATCATTTTTGGTTCACTGCGAGATCATGTGTTATGCGTGAAATCTAGCGTAAAAACAGCACAAACAAAGGTCATAGCGTCGTAGTGGCGTCAAACATCACGTGGGATTCGACAAATGCGAAAATATTGTGGGGGATATTTTCATGATTAATAATGTGCTGTACACATTTGATGATTTCGATGAAGTAAGGTATTCAAACGCAATATTCCCCTGTCAATGATTGGCCTTTTGATGTGAGCTACGAAATAAAGAAATTCAAGTTCAAAATCAAATTGTTCAATTTTGAGATTTAGCAGTTGAACAAAAAATCACCTATTTCTGTTACAGCCATCAAGACCAGGTTTCCCTCCAACATCGTCAAGTCCTGTACCTACATTTGACAGTGGTGGTAGTAGTGGAGGTAGCGATCATTATCAACCCCCTCCATCTCAGTCGCATTATCAAACCCCTCCCAGAAGACACTCAGGGTCAAGGCTATCAGGCGGGTCATTTGGTCGGCCCGACTCACCAAACAGACCACTTACTGCACAGGTAATAAATATGTCATCACAACTCCTCAGGAATGCAAGAAAATATGTGGCCCCTTAGCCTGCTTAAAAAAAATTGTTAGCATAAGTCCTGCATTATGTGGGTATTTAAAAATATGTGTTTTGTAATAAACTTTAAATTTTCAAGAGATAAACTTTGGATGTCAGTAAAAATTACAATATTTTATACAAATGAAAATTTCTTTGGCAATAACATACAATCCCAGAATCGTGATTATTTTTTTTAGTAAATTTTTAAATTATCATACAGCACTGAAGACAAGTATAGGATTGCTGGTATTGGATCAAATAGCATATACAACTATTTAGTCCCTAACTTACGTCTTTTCACAAATTTATCTCTGACATGCCTGGACAGATCATGTTCAAACTTCATATACCGGTATATATATATATATATCAGACATTCTTGTGTGTAATCTGATTGAAAATGGCTCATTGGCAACCATTATAGTGGTAAAAAATCATCAAAATCAAGCATTTCAGTCATTTCAGAAGCAGATCTCTGGTATATCGTGTATTTTGTTTACACTTTGTTACATACATTAGAAGTTATGGAAACTTGATGCATGTCACTTTAAAAATTTTAATGATAACAAAAAAAAAATATCAAAATGAAGCATTTCTGTCATTTCCAAACCAGATTTCATTTGTATCATGTATTTTGTTTATAACTTCGTACATACATGTTTTTGATTTTATGGAACCTTTGATGTATGTCATTTTGTTTTGCAGATCAGAATAAAAATGACTGACTTGTTAGCATTTTAGTTCAAAGAATGCTGTTCAATAGCTCTATTCTCTGACTAGTCGTGACAGATTACATTCAAAATTCATATGATATATGTATTGTTTACTAAATTCTATTTTGTGTGAATATCAAACTCAGGAGCTGCAAGATCTTGAAATACAGCATAAACAACATCAAGTCCGGATGAGAGAATTAGAACATCAGATGCTGGAACAGCAATTACAAGAACAACAGAAACAGTCAGAAGAGGATTCCAGGTGGCTGGCTGGTGAAGAAAAGTCTCTCTTTGTAAGTCAATTCTTCTATATGGACTTAATATTACACTGTAGCCTCGTTATTACGAACTCTTCGGGAGTCATACACTTAGTTTGTTATAGTGAAATGTGCACTATAATGAGCACATAATACATTGGGTTTGTTGTGAGCGAGAGACATGCTATGTGTTCATTATATCAAGAAATTCTTTATAAAGGTGTTCATTATATTACAGTGTAGTTACACTTTTAAGTCAAGGGTGTTGGGGGGTGGGGTCTACGTGCATTTATCACTTGGGTAAGGTTGTCGTTTGAAAACATCCACCGATGATTTACTCAAAAGTAAAAATTATAATACTTTCTGTCCAGACTATGATATAGGAACGAAAAAAAAACTTCCGTCCAGTGTGCTGAGAGTAGTGAATGTCCTTAGGATGGTAATTTCTTTCTTTCTAGTATCAGCCCATGTAAAAGCTGGGGCTTCTAGATCTGTAATTAAGCCTATTGATCTGATAGATTGTCTGTGGTTTGAAACATGCTTAACCTTTCTACCACAAGATATTTCTGGAAATGAACCTTAATTTTAGAGCCAAAAGAGTCAATTTTCAGTTTTTACTCAAAAAATGTGACTATTTTTGTCCTAATCTTTTAAAGAAACAAGACTTTTTTGTTAGTTTGCGATGAAAAGATGGAACTGGTGGTGAAAAGGTTAAAGGGCTATGGTGATCTCATAACACAAACAAACAAACTTAAAAAGTAGTGGGAATTATTATCGATCAGGGAAATTTACTTAAATCTACAGTTTTAAAATTTCATAGACAATTTTACAGTTGTTTCTAAGCTTACTTGATTGAAGTTTTTGAATTTATGAACAAATTATGTCAGTTAAAATCAAAGATTTTAAGTAGAAATTAGAGGGGTTTGTAGAAAATATGAAAAATGTTGAAATTTCTAGTGAATGATGTAACAATGAGATTGTAAATACTGTGTATCATTGCCAACTGTAGAAGCTTGAAGAATCCAAATCTAAGGAAATTCAAAAGAAAATGGAGATGAGACGAGACATTCCAAACTCACCAAAACATAACTTACAGGGTGCAACAGCTGGGACCATGAATGGGGTAAGTGTTCAGTTTTGGCTGTGAATGGGCAAGTGTTCAGTTTTGGTTGTGAATCAGGTAAGTGTTCAGTTTTGGTTGTGAATCGGGTAAATGTTCAGTTTTGGTTGTGAATCGGGTAAATGTTCAGTTTTGGTTGTGAATGGGGTAAGTGTTCAGTTTTGGTTGTGAATGGGGCAAGTGTTCAGTTTTGGTTGTGAATGGGGTAAGTATTCAGTTTTGGTTGTGAATGGGGTAAGTGTTCAGTTTTGGTTGTGAATGGGGGAGTGTTCTGTTCTGGTTATGTACTGGGTAAGTGTTTAGTTCTAGTCATGTACGATGTAGGTGTTAAGTTCTGGTAATGAACAGGGTATGTGCTCAGTTTTGGACATTAGCTAGGTAAGTCAATTATGGTGAAATTCTCAAGTGCCAATGTTATTCGCCCTGATTGGTTTATGAAAATCCATTGTAAGAAGAATTACAAAAATACATGCACATGCATGGTATGTCAGATCCTACTCCCATCATGCACCTCACTTCGTATTTGTACATAATTTAAGACAAAGGAAACTGATGTCATGTTTGATTAGTTCCCCTTATCTCCTTATTATGATGGGAGCAACACTCCAATCAATTTGACAAATACAAAATGACTTCCTCATATTGTTTCTATAAGTCTGTGTGTCTGTGATAAAGCACCAGTTTGTACTTTGTAATGTTGACCTATAGTATTGTAAGCATGGCTACTTTGTAATGTACAATAATAAGCACCCCCCCCCTCCCCCGAAAACAAACAAACATATGCCACATGTTTTGTATCTGGACAAGTGCAGAATAAAATTAGTTACTCCACAACTATAAACTTTACATTAAATCACAGTATATTACAGTGAAGTTGGGATTGAAAATTTGGCTATTTTCACTGATCAGTAAAATCTGTTAATTTAAATCTTTGTGAACGCATAAAATAACAATAAAACTCATTGATAAATTCATGAAATTAAAACACAGTGATCATACTCAAAACATCAAAATAGTGAAATGAAATGTCAGTGAAAATAAATGGTTTTACAGTATTTTCTGAACACATTTTCCATATTTGATTAGTTTTATGCGATGTAAAGTGCTCTAAGATTATGTCATTTCTATTCTTAGTCAGATTTTATATTCATGACTAAACCTATATCAGTTTTGAATTTATAACATAATCTACTATTTTCATAGCATACACATGCAACACATACCACATGGGTGTGATCGTACACTCAAATGAAGCTCTGTATCATTTCATACAGGGCAGCGATGAGAACTCAGCAACCAGACCCTTATATCAATCATACAATCAGTCTATGTCAAGTAATGCTGCGTCTACTGCCCCGGTTACGACATCAGAACACAGTTGTAAGTATATATATAGGTTATTGACCACATACATTTGTGTCTGTATTGATATTGCATAATTGGAGGTTTTGTAAATAATGCTGTATATTGCATGGAGGTCATTGCCCTTACAAGATACAGTGGCCCCTCGCTAACTCGCGCCTCAATAACTCGCGATCGCGACTAAGTCGCGGGTATCACCATAGCTCCCGAAATCATAGTGCACATGTACATGTATTGTTTTTGATGTCAATTTTTTTTTTTTTGTCCACGAGTTTGTTCGTTATTTTATTCATAAATGTGTGACTTTAATAGCGAGAGGCCATTGTATGTATAGCAATAGCCGTGATTCAATTTTGTCTCCATGACTCTGAAAGCCTGAATTGTTGAATGGGTTTTAATTTCATTTTATCGAATGTACTGAATTTAAAATAATTTGTGAAACACATTTTGTAATAAGCACATAACTGATTGTTTTTTTATCACAAATTCAGTGAACTATATATCAAGACGTACTGGTATTATTTGTTTAACCTTTTCACCACTAGTTCCCTCTTTTCATCACAAACTCACAAAATAGTTCCATTTATAGTTTGCACTTTCCTTCAGAAGATTGCGACAAAAATAGCAAATTTTTTTTAATTGAGTCAAATTTTGTCTGTTGGCTTCAAAATTAGGGTTCATTTCCAGAAACATTGATGAATATTAGAAAAAAAAGTGCAGAAAAAATTGTGTGAGAGTCTGGTGGTGTAAAAGTTAATACATATTAAACTACATGATAAGGATATTTAATAATAAATACTTAATATTATATATTTATCTATTTTTTGATAACTTTTAATCACATCTTTTAATTTTTTGGAATTTAGACTCGGGGCCCATACATAACATTTTTCAATGTATTGGAGGGGGGGGGGGGGGTCCAGCTGCACCAAAATTCAACAAAGATTTTCCGAAGTATACTTAAGATTTAATTATCTGGTTTAGATATTGAGTGTATTTAAGAACCATCACTAATCTTTTTTATCAGGGAAATTATATTTTTGTTATTCGTTTTGTTTAAAAAAAACCTTCATTTTGTCCAAATCATTTTTTTTACCATTTTGAATGCCATATTTTTCCCTGTCATTTTTTATTTGTATTTTTCCATAATGTCTTTGAGAATTTGGGATCAAATAGACATATTTTCTCATTGACTACAGTTTCTTTTACTAAATACGGGACAAATATACATGGGTTTATTTTGTGAAATGTGATGAAATTTGGCATTCAAAAGATTAAATATACATAGTGTCATTGTTATTATTTTTGGCGAGGGGGTGGGGGTGGGGGTGTCTGACTTTTTACCTGAATAAATCAGTGTAACTATTTCCATGAGAGAAAACATGTCACCATCAGAAGATGGGAGTATGATTGATTCTTCAGATACTAAGACTTTATTTGTTTTGATAACCCAGCTGTGGAAAAACTTTGAAGCATAATTCAGTGACTAGTCACAGTTGAATAAACAATTCTTTTCTCTTTTCAGATAATGACGTAAATCCCTCAGGTACAAATGAAGTGGAGAAACCACCTCGTAGGGTAAGTACCATGGCAACAAGTACCATAGCAACAAATACCATGGTAACAACAAACTTGTCTGAATTACATACAGTTTCTAGAATTTGTCATGTACTGTATTTGTTCTATTAAAAATACAACTTAATGTCCTGGTTATTCAGCTCAACATTTATTTAGGTTGCTTGATGAGCATCCCCTCCCCCCTTCGATTTAACTTGTGACGAAGTTGATTTTAGTTCAGCATCAGTTCAGTGTTTGATTTGTTTAATTTTGTTTTCTAATGTTTTCAGATTGAACCCACTTTGGATATTGACAGGACCAATGACAGTGTCTTTGACAATACTACAGGCGTTGTCAAGTCTGTCATGGAGATGTCAAATAATATACAGTTTACAAGGCCAGAAGATTTTGTCAATCTTGTAAAGGTATATACAATATTCAGTTTGCGTAGCTAGAATTAGATTTAAAATACAGTTTACCAGGCCAAGAGATTTTGTCAAACTTGTAAAAGTATATACAATATTCAGTTTGCTTGGCCAGAATTATGTAGCAAATACAGTTTTCCAGGCCAAAAGATGTTGCCAACCTTGTTATGTTATGCATATTATACAGTGTACCTGGCCTGTATTTTGTCAATCGTAAGGTATGTATAATAACCAATTAACAGGATACCTGGCCAGAAGATATTGTCAATTTTCTTATAGTATGTATAATATACAGTTTACCTGGCATAATATGTTGTCAACCATGTTAAAGGTCCAAATCTCGTCTGTGATAACAGGGAACTACAACAATGTGTCCAGACATAGTTTGCATTTAAGTGAATCTGTGGACGAGGGCGCAATAACTATCGATGACCTTGTCTGGCTATATTCAGTGAAAGTAAATACAATAACTTTAGCCTTTTGACCTTGAGTCTTTCTGCACTTTTTTTCTCATATTCTTCAATATTTCTGAAAAATGAACCCTAATTTTGGATCCTACAGGCAAAATTTTAGTCAATTTTCAGTTTTTGCTCAAAAAATTGGCTATTTTTGTCCCAATCTTCTGAAGAAAAGTGCAGACTATAAATGGGACTATTTTGTGATGAAAAGAGGAAACTGGTGGTGAAATGATTAGGAGTGTAAAGTGTATGAAAGATTTTCTAATTTTTATTTTTTAGGGAGTTGGGTTTGCATTGAAGCAGTTGTTAACAAGCGTTGACACAGTGGTATCAGAACTGCCAGTTTCCAAACACAGAGAAGTAGAGATGGCCCACAAAGTCCTGAGCTCGGATATGTCTGAACTTGTGAACTCTATGAAATTAGCACAGAAGTATGCTAGTACAACCTTGGACTTTGAATATAAGCGCAATATGTTGAAAGCTGCACACGTATTAGCGATGGATGCCAAAAATCTCCTGGATGTGGTGGACTCTGCTAGACTGCTGGCGCAAGTTGAAGCTCAAGCTCAGTTAGATTTGGACCAGGAAGGGGCGACTGCCTAGCAGGGTACTGCAAAGCATTCTGGGAATATTGTATATAATATGTAGATACTGTATGCCATTGAATTTAAAGATCACTCATCTGGTGTTTTGAATTCTTACTTTTCTACTGCCTTTTCTTCTGCTGTTGCCACCTATGGCAAGTGAGGAAAATCTTTTGTTTTTATATTTATAAGAAAGTTTGTTCTATTACTGACTGGGACACATATGTTCACACTCAAATATATCATTTTCCTAAAAGACCTTCTGGTTTGAATGAATTAGCCATAAAAAACAAATCTTTTCCAAATTTTCTGAATCCACGATGGTCGTAACTAACACACTTTTAGAACTAGAATGTAACTCTGCTAAATTATTTTTTGTGATTGGTTGAAGAAAAAATCTAGAGTATCCAAATTAGTTTTTGAATTATAAACCTTTTATTTTTTTCCATTTTTACATCTGAAAAGACTACAAAAATATGCTAATATGAAAATTGAAAAATCTTTGTTTTCATGGAAAAAACATGTTTGGGTACCCTAGACTTATTTGCTATTTGTCAGTTATTTGTCAGACATTCACTTGGCAAAAATATCAAGAATTTTAGGTGCTTTTAGGTTTTCAATATTTCACTTGTTAGCCACTTCCCTCAATAAATGGAAACATCTTATCCAACTCAAACTCTCACAAAAAACAGGAAAATTTATTTCTGCCTTCAAATATCAACTTTAGAACCATAAAATTGACAATTACAGAGTCTTTGGAGCCTTGTCAATAATCAAACCAACAAATACCAGTCTAACAGTTGAGATAAATAACATCGCGTTTCAGTTGAAAAATTTCATTAATTTGACTGTGCCCACTGTAAAACTATTTGACGATCTGAGATGTGGAATATTGTCCAGTTGCACGACAACTGTAAAAATCTGATAGACCACATGAAATATAATTGTCCAGTAAGGTTTTTGTGTTTAACTCTCTGACCACTCAAGGCAACTTTGGCTACTCTTCAATAAAACTAGAATAATTGTTGGTTTCTTGAAAAATTACTCAAAGAAATCGATTTGGTTTTTATACAGCTGAATACTTTTGGTACACTTAACATGGGTGCTATTTTATAAGGGGATTTTTATTCGGTAGATTCAAGAGAAACATCAAATGAGAAATAGAATGAAAATAAGTATGTCTTAACATTTGATGAATGGCTATACATCAAAGAAAACCATTTACAATTTATTGAATTCATATCACAAGCAGTCAATTATGCAAGCAAATGTTTGTTTTCTAGTTAACACTTCATATTTTCGTCTGTTGTTTAGTTTAGCTCTCTTTGCTGGATGGATAAAATCTTGTTCTCTTGTCGCTGTTTTTTTCCCCCCATTCATTTTGGCTAGTCATGAAGGCTTTCAGACGACGATGTGTTAAACTAGCCAGGAATCAAATTTATGTGATTAAATAGTTCAAATTGCTATTCCAAAACGCTTCATCTGGATTCACAGATACACTTTTATATTGTCAACAAAAAATTTGATTTTAGTGACAAGTTTACACTGTAGGTTAGTCCAGTGTGACCAGGTCATTGTTACTGCAAATTAGCTTAAACCAAAATAGCTGAATTGCCAATTATGGAAAAAATTGATGGTTTGCAAAAATGTTTGTACTTTGAGGTGTGCACCGTAAATGAAATACAACTTAGTACAGAGATTTTTATTAAAATGGCCAAATTGTATGAGATTATTTTGATAATGAGAAATTTGACATATAGCCCTTTTTTCCAGGCCTCTGATAAATTTATTGCTAAAATAAGAACCAGTCAGCTTTTAACCTCTAAGTTAGAAGATGTAAAGTCCGTAAAGTCCGTCATAATTGAATAACAGTTTCACATTTATTGTTATTGCAGCAACAGTACGTGTACTTGCTTCTTTCACTATATTTCTACCACCATTATAGCGAGTCCCGAAAGTATGGTCGCACATTGTCTAAAGATGTGACATATTTTGCATATTGCGGTTATTATTTCACTTCCTGTTATACTAATTATATGTTCATTGTAAATTATATCACAGTATGCGCAACAACAAAAAACTAAAAAAAAAAAAAAAGAAGTCCTGTGACAAATTACAGCTTCTGATCTTTTAGACTTTATTTCTAACTGACTGAGATTGGGTGATCTCACTGATGGAAGGGGGTGTTGGGTATTATGGAGAAGGGATTGATTGGAGTGGAAATGCAGAATATATTAAATATGTGAACATCATTCTTGCCAGCATAGGTACCCAGATAGCATTTAGTGTTAATTGAAAAAAAAAGATATTATATTTGAAATATTTTTTTGAATGAACTTGAAATCCTTTGCAATATATAGTAAGGCACAATTGAGGTCAAGTAGCCTGTGAGGTCAGAGGTTATATAGTCATACACAATTAATGTCACGTAGCCTGTGAGGTCAGAGGTTATATAGTAATACACAATTAATGTCAAGTAGCCATGATCAAAAATTATATAGCAAGGCACAACTGAGTCAAGCAAGGTCAAAGGTTGTATAGCATGGCACAACTGAGGTCAACCAAAGTCAAAGGTTATAAAGCATGGAACAACTGAGGTCAATCAAGGTCAAAGGTTTTGCACTGGCAATATAACCTTGTTTTCTCCATAAAAAATTGTTGTACAAATCCATTCAATAATTAATTTTCAGCAGGTTTTTAATAGTGTTGCAATAGTGTATCTTAAAAAAAAAATGTTATTTCTATGTTTTATTTTATGTATTTAAAAGTTCTTTTCATGCAATATTATTTGGCATTTAGGAGTTTTGAATGTTTTCATAAAAGGGTATATATATATATTCTTTGGAAGTAGTACCTGAATATGGAGACTTTGAAATACAATATAGTATCAGTTTTGGTCTCAATTCATCCTCAGGTTTAGGCTGTTTGGAGTAACTGACAGTAGCACTACATTCCCAGATACTAATTTTGTATGTAATTCTTTGTTTCTGATTTGTGTTACTTGGTCTCTGCAGCTAACTCATTTTAGAAATGCTGCAAAACTGAGATTATTGTCAGCTACAGACACTTAACCCTTATCTGGTGAAGTCACTGTAATAGTGCATGGGGCTGGCAAGATAACGGTTAAAACTAGAATTAATCTGAATAGGAGTCTACTAATTCAGCAGTCTTGAAAGCTGTAAACATTTTTTCACTATTCTTCGCTCTGAGTTTCAGTTTATTGATGTTCTATTTACATATTTCCCTCCCCCTCAAATGTAGTGTAATAATCAATTGAGGGGGTGGGATGGCACTAATTATTAAATACGAAAAATTGAACATTTTTTTTTTATTCCACTAAATAACAGCCTTATACCTCATTGGAAGCACTGTATTTTCAGAATTTATGGTATTTCCTTGTTTTGAAATATCACAGGGTGTCGTAGAGTAGTGGGATTCTATCAATGCACCTTTCTGATAACGCTGGACTTTTGAAATTCAACACGAGGTCATGTTTCAGACCATAGATGTACACTTATCAATGAGTATTAATATTCACAAAGTGAAATCTTGCCCGTCATTTGGGCAACATATCAACGTAAATGTAATACGGTATAGCTTTAACTTCGGCAGTTTGTAAAATAACACTCACCAAATATATTGTGCATTGTTGATAGATACAGTTCTCTTGAATCTTGATGCGAATCTTTCGCAAATTGGAATCTCTAGGTTTGGAGTTCAAACTTGCTGCTTTGATAATGAACTTGAATTCAATAATTCCTTGCCATACATAGATTCTGGTCAGGAAATTAACTTGGGTTTTTAAAGCATTTTTTTAAAAATAAAAGTTCTGTTGTAAATACTGGACATGTTTCATTAGTGTGTTTCCTCTTGCATCATTATCTTTTACATTGATAGTGTTACCGAAAATCTAAAAAAAAAAGTGTTAACTACGACAAGCATCAACACAACTTATCAGTGTCAATTTCCATTTCATTTGTTGCACAAGTATATATTTTAAATATCAGAAACTTGCACACTAAAGTATTTCATAGAAAAACTTTATTTTGAAAACTTTCACACGTCATGGTTTGAATTGTTGAACAATACGATGGAGACATAAAAACATGAATTTAAAACCAATATATAAAAAAAACAACTTGAAATTTGGAAAATAAATTTATTTTCTGAAATGGTACAAAATTAGTGGTAATTCCTATATTTTAGTGCTTGCATTGTGGTCATTTGGAGGATGCAGTTTCTGGTCAATCCATGAACAAATTCGGAGGGACACTATTATAAATATTTTTTCAGTTTAACTTTTAAAACAAATTACAGCAAACCATGTACAGATGAATTGTAAAGAGAAAATACAGCAAAAAAAAAAAAAACACAAACATTCCACACTTATTTAGTACAATTTGATAAACTCTGATTAGCTGCTGGTTATTTACAGTCCATTTAATTTGAATATTACGAGGTTATTACGAAATTTGATATTCTGTTATACTCTCTTGCCACAATGTTGTTGCATCCGATGTAAGCAAAGGAAAAAGGTATGAATGTGATGTAAATATGAAGAACGTATTCCAAATAATAACATTTGAATGTGTATCAATAACATTTCATGGACGAATGAATTACAAAACCTTTGTTAAGTGACCATCTCTATCTAAAGACCCAGGTCCATAGAGACCACCATCAGGCAGTCTTGTGACTTAATGTATAAAGGTATGTATGTGACCACGCATTCAGCAATATTTTTTGCCGATTTACCTTTCTTTACAAATGAAAACATTAATTTCATTTTTAAAACAATTTTTAATTTCCACAAGTCAAACCTATTTGACTTTGAACAGCTCAAATAAATTTCTTTTTCTGTTGTTGCAACAGTACCATCTCATATTCAAAAATCAGCATAAATATCACTTGTATATAATGACCATTCTAATAGAGTCCCTTGGGTGGTCAATATACACAGGTTTGACTGTACGTTTCGATGTCAGATGCATAATAATAAATATTTTGTCATGGTATGGTGCCATAAAGTTTTCACTGAACGAAAAGTATATGCACCACCAGAGCAAATTTTATATACAGTATTTTTTCTATTAGAAGTTCACGTAAGCCTAAAATAAGAAAAAACTTGTAGAGTGATCAAGAAATCCTGCTGCATTTAACATGGTATTTACGCAAGTGTATGGACTTCGTATTGAGCAAATATGTTATCTATATATGATTTTTTTTAAAAGCGATTTAGCATGATTATTGAAAAACTTAAATTTGGAATTTAATAATGCAGGTGTTTGTTTACACAAGGCATTTGTCAAATATTCGCTGAAATTTTACAACTTCCTGATTTTTTCAGAACGCAAATCAAATTGCATTTGAATGTAAATTAAATATTCATCTGAACGGAAAATTATCATACAAAACCAATATCTACGACTTATGTATCTTACAATCAGTAACATAGGGTGCCTTAGCAACAACCAGACACCTTAGCTGTTTGATATTTAATCCCCTTTCTGATTGGTTGATGACAATCCATAGGGAAATAAACAACTGTAAAGTGGGCAGTTTAATCCACATATGGAGCTGCGATATCACAGAAATACTTTTTAAGTAATTATAGAATTTACCACACTATTAAGAATATAAGTACAGACAATTAGATAGTCTCTAACAACAAATTTTTCACATATATACTGGCCACCCCCCCCCCCCCGATCCTTCCCTGGCATCTCGACATCTTTGTTTTGCAAGCTATGTCAAAAAAGCCAAATATTACGGTATATTATTACTGTACATGGTAATCAGCAGTTTCAGAATTTTTTTTTCTCAGTGAAAACTACAAGAAATGCATTTATAGCATTTAAAAACTGCTGCCTGTCACCCTTCCTGGCTTATCAAGTTTATGGTGTTCGGTGTTGCTATGATACAATATAAGGAATAGTGATTTTTACTGAGGAGGCAACGTTCTCTCCAGCAGTTGCACGTCCCATTTTATAAATATTAAGTCAATTTACAATTTACAAAATCTTAGAATTCTCCAAATTTTACAACTCATCAGTATCCTTAAACCTTTGAGCACTAAAGTCAACTTGTGTCACCATTCACAAAATAGTTCTATATACCGTCTGTGCATATTAATTAGGTAATTTGCATATCATTAATTATTTGAGCATCAAAGTCAATTTTTGTCACTATTAACAAAATAGTTCTATATACCATCTGTGCATAATAATTAGGTAATTTGCATATCATTAACCATTTGAGCACCAAAGCCAACTTTTTCACCATTCACAAATTTCAAACTCACATAATTTTTTTCATTATTTTTCATAAATTTTGATCAAAACTTGTAGCCAATAGGAAAATACTTCCATTTGGTTAAAAAAAAATACATAAAAACAGGACAGATTTTGGTGCTCAAAGGGTTAATATGATATGCATGATCGGTTGTTTTACAAAAAAAAGTTAATCTGAGTGTAAATGTTCTCACAAGAGAAAGGTCATCGTAAAACAAACTTGGCTTGGACAAGGCTCTGTAGATGGTGAATTCACATAAGAGATGATTTCATGTTAACAGCGAGGTGCTTACGGATTCTCTCCAACACCAGGTGGAAATTCTGTTTAAACAGTTTATCATTACTGAGATCAATCTGCACAGTTCTAGCCAGCATCTTCTTAATACCGGGCTGCGCTGTATCGGGCGGCCATGCGACAAATCGCAGCATTATCGGAACTATCGGTTTATTCAGATACTCGGCTAGTGAGAGATCCTTAATACAATTATCAGATTGGATGTACCGTGGAGTGATACAGCATAAAACCACGGCTGACGATTTCATGTTGCGTTGTATATTCAGCTGTAGCGTTTCTGTAACACTCCCGTCCATCTGACTGGTAGTTGAACTTCGTGAGCTGACGCTGCTATGTCCACGCTGTGCCATGGTAGGGCTAATATCGGCCCAGCACGGCAAGCCATTAGATTCTAATATTCTCCTAATCTCCAACACCTTGGTTTGCATGTCCCACTGGTAACTGATGAAAACCTTAGGTTCTGGTAGCTCTTCTCCAAAAGAAAGCGTAGCTGCTATGAAAAAGATGAAATCATATCAACATCACAATATTATAGATGTCAATTTCATATCAGTTATTGGGATTGGAGATATATGTCTGCTCCATTTGAAATACAACACTGATAGTGGAGCACATTTAAACCAAAAATGTATTATATGCTAGATCATTATGACTTATTTTGATCATAGACACACCTCATTTACATATAAAGTACATGCATTACACATACAAATGTACTACTGTTTTTATTTGAAAGATCGCCCTGGGATGTTTTCACATCCATGCCTGACAGATCGGCTTTCTCATACAGTAATTTCAGTCTACACTTGGTACTATTCAATCTTTTTTACGCATGACTGAACGTAACTACAGGTATGTGGCAAAGGAAAACCAAGTGCATATAGATTGTAACATTTCCTCGGTCAGCTTGAATGACTTTGACTCCATGCCATATATGGATGCCATGAGTGACAGGATGCGTGAATTCACTTTTTTGATTGGATAGCATGTCAAAATTATTGTTACAACGAACTTGCATTATATATTTTTGAGGGAAAACAAAGAGTACAGGTACCTAATCTGTTTGATGTTCATCATGAGCATAACTTGGATGAATCAGCGTTATTTTTGTCAGTATTTACTGTGGAATACTTTATTTTTGCTGGAATTAATTTTCGCTGAAAAGGCTTTTTAGGCATTTTTTATGGAATTTATTTACACTGATTTTTAATGAGTAGAATGTGAAATATAGGAAAAAAAGTATATTCGCTGGATTTTATTTTCACGGTATCATCCCTTCAGCGAAAATAGCGAAAATAAATTCCAAGCGAAAATAAAGTATTCTACAGTATTTGTTTTTACAGCTTGAATATATCGCCAAGGTGCTGAAACATCACGGGTGGATCATGGGTGATCTTTTGCAGTGGGATGAGTTTCAGACAAATATAATGGTAATTCAATATATGTACCCAAACTCGTCTGACTAACCACCCATCCCCCCAACTTTTGGGGCATTTCTATTTTAGGGTTCACGTTTAGCTAAGTGCCAATCTCTGCCAAATTTGACTGTCTAGTCATAAAACGTGCTCAGTGAATATTGTTTGACTTTTCCGCATACACATGTTATTGCAAAGTGCTCGCTATTAATATTATATTGTGCTTTTTTTGGAACCAGAGGGTTATTTTAATATGTAAATTCACCCAGTTTGATGTGAACTGTTCACATTTCTACTGTCTATATTTAGTCTAAGCTAATGGGTCCTTTTCTTTTTTGGAGGGGGTAAATAAAGAGTGTTGTAAATTTAGATTTCAATATCTATAACTGTAGCGTTTTTCGCAGTACAAATCTGTAAAATTTTGAGAAAATGCAAAAAACGTAAGCCATATGTAACAAAGACAAGTTGATGCAATGCACATACCCTGTGAGGTTGCCAGTACTTGTAGAGGTTTCAAGCCTTCCGCCATTCTGTTCAGATATGCTTGTTCGAGTACCACACCCGGTACTTTGCGCAGCGGTTTGATTTGATGTTCAAGTACGTCCATGCTCTCGGCGTACATCTTCGTTTCAAAATCGATGGCAGGACATTCACCTAGCAGTGGATAAATAGAATAAATGTTAGTCTTTTAATCACCAGTTACCTCAAATTTTGTCTGTTGGCTCCAAAATCAAGGTTTATTTCCAAAATATTGAAGAATACAAGAAAAAAGTGCAGAAAAAATTGGGCGAGAAAGTCAGGTGATAACAAGCCATGCATGGCACAGTCCCCGTTAGTTATCAAATTTAAGATATATAGTTTTGTTTAAGGTAATATAGCTGGAATATAACCATGTCAGGAATATGATTTTTTAACATTAAAATCAGCATTCAAAATCAGCCATTGTGAATACATGTATATATATAACATGATGTATAACGAATATAAAATTTAAATATAATAAGTCAAAGCATTTATAAGATATGGCTCTAGAAGCCCAATCATTAAAACAAAATGGCCGCCAGTCAGCCATTTTGAATCCAATCTGAAAAATATAATGACGAGCATCAGGAACCCGTAATGTATGTATCAAGTTTGAACGAAATCCACCCATAAATGCTTGATATTTGATGATTTTTTAGCACAAAAATGACCACCATTCAGCCATTTTGAATAGGATAGTCAAACCAATATATCTGTTTATCTATGTCTAGAAGCCCATTCATTAAAACAAAATGGCCGCGAGACAGCCATTTTGAATCCGATCTGAAAAATAAATAATGTGCATCAGGAACCTGTAATGTCTAATATATGTACCAAGTTTGAACAAAATCCATCCATAAATGCCAGAAATGCTTGATATTTGATGACTGTTTAGCACAAAAAAGGCCACCATTTGACCATTTTGAATAGGATCGTCAAACCAATACAGTAAAACCTGTCAAAACCGACCTCTGGATAAACCGACCTACTGTCAGAACCGACCGATTTATGTAGTCCCGAAATTTCTCCATAGACACCTATGTTAAAACAACCTGTGAAATCCGACCATCCGACTTATTTAGCAAGTTGCAGAGCCACAAACACAGTGTAGCGTTGATGAATACCTCCACTTTGATGAACGTATACCGACTGAAGCAATGTATGACGGCGATTGGGAGCAACAGATTGTTAAGAATTTTATTGCAGACAAAGAAAACTATGAATCTACAGACAACGATGACATAAATTGCAACAACAGTCAAATTATCAACCCCCACAACAGCAGTGACTTGACGGTGGCGATGTGCTAGACATGTTGACGAGATTACAAAACTTCAATTACTTGACAGATATCCAAAATTTCATAATTCAAACGGAAAACAAAATTGTTGAAAAAAGATGTTCTTTAAAGCAGTCAAAACTTGATGATTTTTTTACATCGTAATTTGATTCATTGACTTAACAGCAAAATCGACTGTCTGCATAAATTATGATAATTACTTGTAGCTCTCGTGAACTTACGTTGTGATGTCATTCAAAATAGACGCCTTCAGTTACGATACGCAATACTTACCCGGTCTGTTCCAACAGTTATTTTAATGTTTATTGATTTCATGTACATACCATAATATTCTTGTCTTGTTTGGTAAATTATTTTATTGAAACAATACAATAAATGTAAATACATGTATAATCACCGGAGGCAAACTCCGGTGTCTTTCATTTG